ATTTTTTATTTATTTTTTGTCAGATGGTGATGACAACGTTCTAGGTCAGGTCGATTAAAAATTTAATTTCTTAAAAACATGTTGCAACTGGGAGCTCCTAAACATTATTTTTCATATTTGCATACATAAGGTTGAGAAATAACAAAAAAAATTATGGGAAAATTAAAACCCATTTTGTCCCTATTCTCAAGAATCACTGATTCACATTATTGTCAATTAACAGACATTAACCATGTTTTACATGTTTTACGCTACAAAATATAGTTCTTAAGTTTAATCTATTAAAAGACGTTGGTTTTAAGACACTCTAATACATGATGGATTCTCTGATGGTGAGCTGACGAATCCTGAAGCTTCCCAAAACATGTTACTTCCACTTACCTATTTGTATTTTTTATGCAGTAATGGGAGACAAATACATTCAGAAACCTATAGATGACGTAAAGAACTCGTGTTCATGAGACAGCATATCAGAAGCATTGTAAATAGAGGGAGAAAGGAGTAAATTTCTGCCTAAACACAGAATTTCTTTTAGAAAAAACATGGAAATTTTCTGAATTTCAAAAGTGTAAAAACTTTTTTTTTTATTTATCACAAAACCTGTTTGTTTTGTTTTTGTTGTTGTTTTTTTGTTTTTCAAAATTTGCATGTTTCCATAAAGCAGATTTATTTTCATTATTTCAATTTATGCAGATATTTTGTTTTTGGAGAATCAGCTATAGAGAGCCATAATTCAATTTTTATGCTCCACTAATATGGAACAAACTTCCAGAAAACTGCAATGATGCTGAAACCCAGAATTTCTTCAAACTAACTCTAAAACCCCGTTTGGTTAGAGCTACCTTAGATTAATAAATTTGCAATGTAATTTTTGTATTTTTTTCTTGTTTCTTGTATTATTTTCCTTTAAAAAAAAAGCACATTTATTTACTCTGCTGCTGAAAATATGCTACACAAATAAAATTGCGTTCATCAGTAAACTGAAAAGCTTATTTCAAATGTTAAAACTTTTCAGAGTAGAACAGTCTCTAAGCTGACTTTGCATGAAAAAACAGCTGCCAGACAATAAACCTGTACCTCATTTATACTTAACGCAAGTTTAGTTTTTCCATCACATTTCTTTCTTCCACTCAACTTTCTTAGGACACTTGGACACAGTCCACTTCTTTTATTATAAATGCATCACAGTCAGATCATGATTTGAAAGCCATGTTTAATAATTTAATTACAACATGCAGAAACCATATAGAAAATACTTTACAGCCATGACAACAAAAAAATGACATTTCTTGATGCTAAAAAAAGCAAATTTCACAGACAACAGAAGGCTCAGAGGGAAAGTTTAATGTTAGTACTTGGTTAGGTAATGTTTGATAAAGAACTTTGTTAGTTACATCCAACTCTTTACTTCTCCGGGTCATCATCGCTTCAATTTAAACATCGACCCCCGACAAAAGTGGGGGTAAAAACAAGAAATAGGGAGTCTTAATTGATGAGGAGAAACAAGCAAAAGGCCTCCATTTTATCCCTTCAAATGGCACAAGTTTCTTTAAAAAGAAGATGAAAATAAACTCCTTCATATTACAAGCAGTTAGAAATACTGACTTGACTGGTTGAAAACGTACATTAAACCTTCACAGCTGGAGATGTTTGATCTGATTTAACACTCCTAATAATTTACTTCTGATTCAGATAAAAAAAAACTATTTAACAACGCATAGCAAAAGTGGTTCAGGAATAGAGGAGTAATTACACAGCAACAAACTTCTCAAATTAAAGCTCAGCAATTGCATGAAATAGTTTCTCTTTACAGGCTGCTGTGTAGTTACAGTTCAGCTTTGGGAGAAAATTTAAACAGAAAAGGTCCAAATCACCGATGTTTGGAGTTTCTCATTCATCCTGCTGTCTGCTTTCATGAAGCCAGTAGTGCTTCCTTCTCAGAGGAGACTTAAATGAACATGTTGACATCATAGTGAAGACAGAAAAGTGAAGTCTTGAAGTCCATAGCAAGAAAAACACAACATGTCGCAGATTTGATTATTTCTTTGTTGTAAAAATGCTTGTTGGTATTAAATCCCCGTAAATGTTGCCTTTAATACATGTAATATGAGCACAAATCCTAGAGGAGTTGAAAAGAAGGCTTCTTGGTTGCAGAGAGACAAAGAGGACAATCAAACCATCAATTATAATCAACCATATCCCCGACTCCAGCATCTCTCTGCTGGCTTTCTAACCATAATACATTCCATAAGACTCTTTGATGATAGGAGTTATGACAACATTTAATTTCCCTTTGGGATAAATAAAGCATTTTTAATTGAATTGAACTGAAATTCATTTTAAATTTTGCTGAATTTTGCTTAGAAATGTAGCACAGTTCAAGAGGGAATAAAGATTTTTAGCTAACAAGCATTGCTACAACAAAGAGGAAAAATAAATGCCATATGTTAAAAATTACCCAAATAATATACAAACTGAGCTCATTTTATGGGATTTTCTTCACAAATCCCCGTCTCTAGCCTCTGATTCAACTTGAAATGTCAAGATGCATAAGTCAATGCCACCTCTGTTGGTCTTTTCACAAGATAAATAAACAGAAAAACTAAAAGCTAAAACTTTCAAGGCATCCGTTTATAAACTAAAACCAGTGTTTTCCCTATGTGGGCAGTTGCTACGTTTCTTTTTACCTCAGAAGGCTCAGAGTTTCAGCTCTCATTACCAATATTTAACATCTTCAAGTTTGCTGATTGTGAAAGATTACATAAAAATGCGGGGGAAATCCTCGTAAACAGTCCCTTCCTTCAACTTTCCAGACATGTTCCTCCATTTCTCCGGAGCTTTTTTTTGTTTTGTGTCCTTTTCTCTCAGAACAAAACATCTTCATTGGTAATGAGCGTCTCCACCACCAGTCTCTGGTATCGGATGTCATTGAGGGCCGTCATGGCGTCCAGTTCAGGCGCCCTCATCAGCGTCGGGCCGAAGACGATACCCAGGTTCTCGCTGGACATGAGGTTCTCCTTCTCGTAATCCGTGACCCTGGATGCACAGCAGGGGGCGACATAAGATTTCTTCTTCTGCTAAGTTCAGATAAAGACATTATAGTTGGTAAAGCTACCGTTCTGACCTCTTGAGGTGAGCCATGAGGTATCTGAGTGTCTCGATGTGGGCGGGCGGCAGCAGCTTCAAGGCCTCATGCAGAGACTCCAGTCGTTTTTCTGCGTCTGTAATTTCTACGCCACACAGTAGGAAAACATTAACCATCAAATAACAACCTAAGCTTAACAAAAAACGTAAATTAAAGCAGCAACACCCACTTGCGGTCTCTATGAAGCGTGGGTAGGCGTCGTATGTGATGAGGGGGATCGGCAGTTCCCTGAAGTACAGCTTGAGGGCGCCGGTGATGATGTTTATGTCCTCGTAAGCGTTTGATGAAATGTCTGCTTTCTCTCCGTCTGCGGGAAGCGAAAAATCGATCAGCGACGGCCGACAAAATCAAGAAACACAAACAAGGCAGTGGTAAGGCTGGGCAGTATGGCTTAATGATTTTAATCACTTTTCCTTGCTTTATTGCCAAAAAGGAAATTACAAATGGCAGAAAATATATTTTTAAGTATTTTTTATTTCAATCATCCCTTCTTTGAGTTGTACGGCAGGATATTAGGGACCAGCTATGGGAACTTTTGCTTAAAACTCCCAAGTTGTTCAGTATTCCTCATTTTAATGTTTTGTTACTTTTTGTGTTCTCATGAAGTTACAACTTCATTCTACAAATATTACGACTTTATTCTGATGATATTATGACTTTGTCCTCATATTATTTCGACTCTATCATCATATGGCTTTATTCTTGCAATATTATGGCATTATTATTATTATAACAAATAATAATAATAGCCTGATCCCAATACTCTGTCCTAGAGTTGAGTTCAAAGTCCAAATAAATAAAAGTTGTAAAACAAAATGGCCGCCTTGAGCTGACACTGAACCCCAAGGAGCGCATTTGTAAAAATATCCATATTTTCCAAAAATTAAATCTTCAAACAACAAAAATTTGATTAAATAATTGATTAAGTTGCTGTACTGCCCAGCCTTGGTTGTGGTGACATCCTGTGGACAGCAGGGGGCGACACTCACCTCTGTCAAAGGCCAGCTTGACGTCCTCGATCAGCTCACTGAAGCCCGATATTCTGTACAGACCCTCAGACTGAAGACCTGAACGATTGGACATTTCACACTCAGATTCATGTCTTTGATAAATAATTTAACATATCAGGTAATAATCCCAAAAATAAAAGGGTAAACTGTAATTTAGAGGAGATTAATCACTGAAACTCCCACCCTGAGAGGACCACCTCCAGACAGAGCTGCTACATCTCCTCCTTTTCTGCTTATTCTATAATCAATGAGCGGCTGACGCAGGCAGCAGCCTTGTGGGTGTTCTTCTCTCTACGTTGCATAATCTCTGACTCACTCCGGCTTTCTTGGTCTCACCTCGAGCTTCGAGCTCCTGTATGCACATGTCGACCACCATGGGCCTCTTGGTGTTGTGGGCTTTGACCAGCGTGGTCAGGTCGCAGCTGTAGACCTTCTTGACGTGCCGCAGGTCCGGCTGGCAGTCGTTGGGGACGACCTTGGAGCACTGCTTGTGAACGTTCAGCCCGCAGTCTGACCGGAGGAACACACACATCGTCTTTACTCACCGACAGTCGTGATGTGACGAGTTCAAAGTCTAAACTTTGTGTTTTAACCAAACTACAAGGGAAAAATGAACACTTGAATTTCTGGCAGAATAAATAGAGATTTAATCAGTTCATGAAATTCCAGAATCTGTAGAGGAAGAGAATAAAAGGAGGGAGAGAAGGAAGGATGGATGGGTGAATGATGACTGGATGAAAACTTGGATAGAGGGATGGGTGAACAGATGGAGGAACGAAGGATGGATGGATGAACAGAGGGAAGAATGGATAGATAAATGGACAATAGACAAATGGATGGATGGATGAACAGATGGACAGATAAATTGATAGACTAATGGATGAATGAATTAATGGATCGATGAATGAACATATAGATAGATGGATGACTGGATGACTAGATAAATGGACATTAGATGGACAAACAGATGAGTGGTTAAATGGATGAAGAGTTGGATGGACAAATGGATGGATGGACAAAGATATGGATGAACGGATGAACAGACGGATGGACAAACAAATGGACGAATGGACGGACGGTTGGATTAAAGAAGATCTGTATGAATGCATGAATTGGTAAATGGACTGAGTCCTATTCCTCCAGTTTCCCCTCTTTCATCTCTTTCTCCGTGTCAGCAGGAGTGAACTGCGACTCGCTGCATCGTCTCTGATGTTTCCTGTAATTGCAGCAGGACTGAAGCGTAGGAGCAGGACGGCGCCCACACAGAGACACTCTGTTCCTCAGAACTGGACAGGCTTCACGTTACAAAACAGCAGATGAGTCAACGTCAGCATCTCTGGGTTAAACAGAGGGGCGGACGGCGGCAAACACCCACAACATATAGCTATAGATGTAAATACCTGCACATTTCACTCCCTGAGCGATCAGACCCCACATGAAGTTGGCACAGTATTCACACCAGTGAGGACCTCTGAACGTGTGAACCTGGAGGGCAGAAAAAGTTCAAACAGCTGCTTTTACACATTTTAAATGACGGAAAACATAATTAAAAGGAGAAGATATGAGCTGACGTAACAAAAGGTTGTGTTGAGTAGCTCAGTGTTGATAAGAAAAGGTGAGAAAATCACTCAGAAAAGGTCGAGTAACTGCTGAGGGCCAGCCGTAATCTTACAAATAGGCAGCAAGGAAGGAACAAAAGCCTGACAGAGACATGATGGAGAGTTTTAATCAACTCATTTACTGAACCAACGGGCCCTTCATAGTGGCACGCTGATAACCTCACAGAGCAAAACGTGTTAATATAAAACCTTTGGGTTCCTACAAGTCTGGAGGTCATGTTGAAACGAGTCAGTTTGACAAACCTTAAAGAACTCCCAGTTTATAATTAACCAATCAGATCAAGCAGCTGCAGACGCCTCCAGACTGCAGGAACCATCAGCTCTTCTCACTATAAAAACATGTTGTCATGCCGACACAGGACCTCACGTTCCCCACCAACTCAGTGGAACCGGATGAAGCAGAGGAGCGCCTCACCTTGAAGTTGTGGACCTTCTCGTACTTGGGCACCATGTCGCTCTCCCTCAGCGTGGCGCGCCGCACCAGAGACGTGAGCTGCGAAAGGGCAAAAGATCTGATTGGTTGCCAGAAGGTGGAAGCAGGGGAGGAGGGCTTGGAGGGGGCCGCCGTCCGTTTCGCCGGGTCCGGACCGCAACTGGAGGCGGCCAGGGAAGGAACCGAACCGACACTCGCATTCAGCCCGAGAGCAACTGAAAACAAAGATCCTTTCTGACTCGTTTTCTTCTTGTTTCGTCTGTTTTGCTGCTTTTTTCCTCTTTTAACAGCGTACGACTCTCTGCTCGGCATGGTTCAAGATCTGAAGTGGATTTATATTAAATTAAATTACAAAAAATAAAAAAACAAAAAGTTCTGGAACAATTACACCCTCCAGTTTTCGACTGACAACATCCTGACAAAAGCAACCCACAACAAAGCTCAGCCAATCAGATTAGAGCGTCTCCACTTCACAACAAAAGCTCCCCTGAGTCAATCCCATGGCTTAAAACTAACAAAAACACAAAACGCTTCATTTCTTGGAAGGTGAGAGAGAAATGCTCCCAGCTGGGAATGATGCGACAGGATTCCTGAGTCTCCGGTGGATGAGCGCTTCTGCCCACATGGCTCTCACCGTGTTAGTGAGAGGGACGGAGGGAGGGAGATGGAGGAGAGGCGGGGGGAGGAGGCTGCAGCAACGGACGAATTTAACAGGTCACAATGAGAGAGGAGCGGGCCAATCACGCGCCAGCGGTTCCTGTTGTTTCGCCACTGGTTCTGCCACCTCGCCTGGTCCCGGGGGAGGAGAGAACGAGCCGAGGAACAAGCTGTTGTTTTATTCATTCCTTCACACTTTTTCTTTCCCTCCATCCTTTTGTCTTTTAGTTTAACATTTACAGATGGGGAAAAAAAAACTAGCTTTCACTGGTGCATTTTGTAATAAACAAACAATAACACTAAGGTCTGTTTACACCCAACAAAGAGAAGAAGCTGAACTCCAAAAACGATGACATCGCTTACTTTTAATACTTCGTTTTTAAAAAGGAGATTCATGCTTTTGAATTCCCAGGCAGTTTTTGCTGGATTAATGAAGCAATTATTGAAATAATCGTCAATAATAAATAATTTTGTAATCGATTAATCGTTACAACATATTCAACAGTAATTAGGCCAAAACTGTACAAAACATTTGCATTTAAAATGGACAAAAATTATATGTTGTCGTATTTTAAGCAATAAAATATTTCATTTTGAATTTAAAAAATTGAAATAAGAAAGTATATTAGCATCTTTTAATGTATTTCCAATGCTATAGGCTGAAAAAGCTAAAGAATGGGTCGACTTTTTTATCTGATTTATTGTCAGAATTGATAGATTAATCAATGATTAATTCATTGTTAGTTGCAGCCCTGATATATGTATCTATTTATTCACATATATTAATCTATGGTGGCTACAATCGTCTTTCTAAAGATGTCAAGAAACTTTACTTCAACAGTCGGGAGCGCCTTATTAAATATCTGATGTGTACAAAATGTTCAGTAATGACGCTACTTATTTGTTTCAAGTGGGAATTTATTTGAGTGTCTAAATTTATTCTTCAACATAAACTGCATTTTCCCCATGAAATTCACAAAAACAAATTAAATCGCAATTTTTATCGGTTTTTTTTTTTATATTATTTCGATGTTGCTAAAGTTGACATTAAATAACCATATTGTCCAAATATATTAGAGAAACACAAGGTTGTTTCTCCTAACTGTTGCTTCAGGTAAATGTATATTTTCTGATATCTTAGGACCAACGTAGAGTAGAAAAACTTCACAGTTAAGCTTTAAATTGTGTATTCAGCTCTTTTAAAATGATTTTTGCTTTAAAATATAGCACAATAAATAGATTTTAAACCTTAAAGACCCAAAACAAGCGAGCAGACAGTCATTGTGAGGCGCTCCTGGGTCATCTGGAAGCTTTAAAAACGCCACCAAACCCATCATGGAGAGTAATAAAACAATGATGGGAGCCAGTTCTGGTCACAGCTGCACTGCTTTGTCTGCAATTCCACCCAATTACAAAAGCACACACATACACAGGACCAACCCCCCCCTCCGCCAACACACATGCACACCGAAGCGCAGACAGTGATGTATGAGGTGCAGTGGAAGGTGGTCATGCACCGCAGGTCATGCAGGGCCTCAGGAACCACAAATGCCACTTTCACACCTTGCAAAAGTATTTATACCCCTCAAACTCCAACGCTTACTCGTGTATTTCATTACAAGACCCACGCGGAGGATCATTTCTGTGCAAACAAGCATTAAGTTCACCTTATCAAATCACCTCCACCCCTGTGCAACTAAACCGAATCCACCTACAGAGAGAAAGCGAATCGTTTCACAGCTGAATGGAAATTAATCTTGAACGTTCTGGAGATGCAACCTTCTGCATCCGGCTGCTGTTATGTAACTTTACTGCAGAGCCCTTGGCTGGAGGCCATCTCTCCTCTGCATCCATCCTCCTCCAGCTCCCACTGCTGCATCTACACCAACCGTCCTCACCTCTGCTCTTATTCAAATTCACCTCCGGTTGTTTTAATTACTTCAGTCGTGACGGGGATTTCACAGCTTTCACGCCTTGCAGTTTTAACACAAAGTGGCTACTTAGGACGGTACGGGCGGGGGGCTAAGAAATGTTATTTGGTGCATTGCCTGCAGAACAAACTCTTACAGCTTCCGCTAATAAATTATTCATCCCTTTGTGTGCGTTAGTGAAAAAGGAGCCCTAATGATTTCTTATGTAAGCTGCATAAATTTAGACAAAAGTTCAAATTTAATATCTTGAATGTGATCATCTCCCACTCTAAGTTAAGTAGCAGTAAGGCTTTGTTGTTTCTTGGTTGTTTGTGTTTGTTTAGCTAATTAGATAATCAGGAAATGATTAAAACCAGAATTACTATTCATATTTCTATAACAGCAGCTCCCAGATTAAAACTGGAAACAACGATGGGTTTTTAATGTGAACGCTGAAAGTCTTAGGCATCACTGGAGACCCTACGACCTTTGACCTTTCACTGTAGACATAAGGTTGGTCGTGATTGCTCACCCTCTCTGTGTTTCGGCCATCTTTGATAGGGACCGGTCCATCAGGCATCTCTGGGCTGTGTGGCAGGAGTTTCTTCAGAGTGGGTTCCTGGTTCAGAGTGGTGTAGCCCACGCGTTCGTAGATGGGGTTGATGGTCATCTTGGCGATGTACTCCGCCGCCTGAGAGAAGAAATAGAGCCACAGTATGAGTGTGGTTGGGTAAAACCACACTACTGCACAGCTTCCATGTGAAAATACAGACTTTTCCAGACAAAATTTTCCAGTTTTCAGAAAAGAAGTCTGGAGAAACATGTTTTACCTTTGTCTCGATGTAGAGCGTGATGAGGCCGTCCGTGACGAGGTCATGGATGGACTCGAACCTTTTCTCACCAACAAAGTGTTTCCCATCGTGGTAGAGACGGAAATTCCTCGTCTGGTTTCCAAACCTGGAAGAAAGAGAAAGATGTACTGACTTTGTTTTGGAAGTGAGATCAAAATGTGTCTAATTCTCTCAGCTGCAGTTCAAATGTTGTTTTTTACCAGCTGGTCCCAAACACCGTTAAGCTGGACATGACGATTTCAACTCTTGTGAAATTTGTGATGTTTAACCTGAGCAGAGCAACAGCTGCTGGCTGACCGAAGGCTTGACAGTGATGAGACATGAAACGTTTTCCTTCAGGATTTTCTGATTTTAACAACTGTTGAATATTTTTCTTTAAGATGACAGATTTTGTGTGTGAATGTCTAAGTTATGGTTTCTGCAGGAAAACTGAAGTGGGTCAATAGTGAAACCGCTGCGAGATAAAACAGCACCGGCATAAATCATTAACCCAAAACCCAACCTTTCTTCTTCTGCCACCCAGATTGGGACTCTGGTTTATGAAGGAGTATTTATGGAAGGTAATTAGAACCGCGGGGAGACAGAGCGGTTCAGGTGGAAGAATGACGCGTCTATGAATAGAGCAGCTGACCCAAAAGCAAATCTGAATCGAGCCATGTGCCCATTTCAACAGTGTGACGCCTACTCAGTGAAAAGATGATGGCTCAGTTAATAAAGCCTCATATTTAACCAGATGAAGCCTCCTTTAGAAGTGATGTACTGAAGTCATCAGATAAAAACTCTTCTGACTCAAGTTATTGAAATTGAGTTAAAAAGAACTCCATTCTGGTCCAAGTTCAGGAGTCAAAGTTAAACATGATACCGTAAAGCCAGAGTGTAGGTGCCCGGCTGCCTCTGGCTCTCCCTGATGAGGTAGCTGCCTTCAGCCTGACTCAGGAGCTGATCGGCCTCCTCTCTCGATATCATCCCATGGAACCTGGACCAGGAAGATGGTCAAATCTAGCAACTAAAGATCTAACATCATCATCATATTCAATCACAAAGCGGTAACTCACTCTCTTCCATAGTACTTAGGCCGGTTTTCCACCTGGATGGGGAGAAAATGCAGCCTAAATGACGACAATAAATGTACGGTTGAGTTCAGAACCTGAAAGTATTTCTTACCAAACGGCCACTGTGTCCGTGACTATGTGGGCGAACAGAACATTGCATGAGTCAGATATAAAAGTTGAACACTTTGTTGCTGCCAACAAATCTGCTGCTGAGCCAATAAATCAACACAAACAGCAGTGAGTGTTAATTTAGAAGCAGTGTTGGTTTTAAAACAATAATAAATCTTATGGATTTCCATAAAAGACGGGATTCCTTTTGTATATATTTACAGTGTGAATGCATTGTGCTCAACCGTGACACATTATGTGTGAGATGGTGAAACTGAGAAACATTTCAGCTGGAATGAAGGAAATCCAGCTGGTTTATGAGCAAAGCGGAGGTTCACTACGCGCCTCATGTCAGCTGTGCACGTGTTCCCAGGACACGGGCCAAGCCAGCCCTAATAACCATTACTAACACTCAATTGACACCATCAGCAGCACTTGGTAAAGAGGAGGGATTTAATTCACGCCCAGACGATTCAGCTTTTTTGTCCTCTGAGAGAAATGATGAAACAGAGTGACGAAATGTGAAAGGGGATTTTGGTTTTTAAACAGGCAGGAAGTACGACGAAAAAGTAAAATGTTAAATCTCACCAATACTTCAAAGTGGTAAGTCTTAGGCCACACATTTTTTAAATATTATAGAAACATCATCTACTAATCCATGTTGTCAACAAGCAGAGCCGCCTGAAGGGGATTGTAGAGCAGGTTCATCATCCACTTATAGATCAGAAGGGTTAACAATGTCAGGATACAACAATTTGAACCAGTGGTGTGCATTCAGAGTAGCGTTCAAAACTACTTCATCAGAAAGTAGGCAAGATACTGAGAAAGGATAGAGCGAGTCCAAGACCAAACCAATAAAAAACCAACACTGATGTTATCGTATGCAAGACACAGAGACTTAAAATGAGGACCAAACCAAGGAGACAAACTTCAAGAACATTGTTGTCGTGACGTAAGAGACAGAATGAGACTGGACCAAGACTTTGAAAGAGGTAAGATCAAATCCTACACCAAGACCAAATTAATTAAGATCACAGTGAAGAACATCGATGCTATTGGACACAAGAGACAAAGAACAAGATTTTGTAGGAGGCAAGACCAAGATCGGTCTCATGACTAAGTCTTCGGAGGAGGAAAGATCAAGACCACTCTTGAGACAGAGTTACGTACAAGACTTTCAAACTTCAAGGAGACAAGACTGAGACAAAGGTCAAGATCAAATTATTAAGAGTTCACCTTCAAGAACGTTGGCATTAATTACTGCAAGAGACAGAGACAAGAAGTGTCTGTGGATGTCTGATTTGAGTCCTCCTCAATTGCTCCATCACTCCTCACTCAATTTTTTTATTTACACAGCATTTATTGAAATGGAAAAAAGTCAGAGGTGATCAAGGAACAACTGATCGTTGGTAGAATGATTGGCTTATCACTCGTTAAGAAACTTTTCTTCATGAAATCACCCTAATAATTAACTCTCCATTTTGATTAAAGAGGTGAAATCAACTCAGTTCATCATGTTTCATCATTTGTCATCACAGAGGTAGTGCAGACCTCTTAGATGTTACAAAGCTTCTTGGTGTCACAGAACATAAATAAATATGAATCACAGATAAAGGATAGTTATTTAGTAACATAAGGTGACACCTAAACAGTCTCTGCTGATTGGAGCAGACTAGAGTAAGGGGAGGTGGGGTGTCCTCAATCCAGCCTACCCGCCTGCTATAATTGGGTCATGGACTGGTTCGAAAAGCCAAAAGCTGCTCGTTTAGTACCTACACAAACACCACCACAAGCCCAACCTCAGAGGACAGCTGCGAACAAATTCAACAGACGGACAATCCCGACAGTAATCCCTTTGGGTTCTCCCAAACCACAAACATCTGGTGTCTCGTTCTAGTTTGGACAGATATGCAGGGGTGTATCAATTAGTGCAAGGTCAGCAAGAATCTTGACCTTTACATTTTGTGTCTGACTATCAGAGGTGTTCTCTGTGCTCTCTCGTGTGGCTCAGGGTGAGACCAGCCTGACCTTTAGAAACACACTGAGACCTAACACCGCCTCCCCTGCTGCCATGAACTGTCCTGTCCTCTGGGTTGTGTTTGACTTTTACATTATTCTAAATCGGATTACGTATTGTCCAAAGTCTTTCTCAGGTTTGCCATATCCCCCATAAGGCAAACAGCGAATGGGATTTCTTATATATTTTATTTCAGCAACTGTAGATCAGCAACTGTAGATCTGCTTTTTGTCTGTTTTTCTGATTACACTGGTGGTCTAAAAATCAAATGAATAAATATTTCATTATTAGAATTGTGGATTTAAATATTGCAGCTAATGATGACCGATAAAAAGGTAAATCTTCTGGTAAACAAAGGATGCTGCCAGAAGGTGTGATCTCACCTCTGATGTGCAAGTGATCCTGCGAGGGTGTGGCGCCTCCTGCTGGAGCTGGTACACTACAGCAGAAAACACACTTCAGATGTTTTACCAAACATCAACAGAGAAGGCATCACTTTGTGCTTAACTCAAAGTAACAAAGATATAAGATAAAAAAAATGTAAACTCAGGAACAAAATGACACATATGGCATAAAAAGTGCCTATTTTGATACTTACAGTAGGATTTCCAGACTGGTGGTCTGTACTCATCGTGATCTGAAGACAAAGGAAACATAATACACTCATTGCCCTTTGTTACGCTGCCATCTAGTGGACAAAGTTTGGCTAAATTTTTATATAATCCCTGAACGAGGTAAGGTCAGATTAGATTGAACTTTTCATCTCCTGCCAGCTGTTGTGTGGATTCAGGGTCACAGTAGCTGAAAATGCAGAGTTTTCATGCAACAAAACAATAATAAATAAAAGCATCGGCTTAGCTTAGGATTTCAGGAAAAAGTATCAGGATTTCATCGAAACCACAGAGTCTTTGGGCTTAACTGCAGGAGTCATTTTGTTAGATAAAAGCTTTAATACGAAGAAAAATGCACAGAATAGGTGAATCAAAAATGGAAGTTCAGAACACTTCAGGAGTCCTTTGTGATATTAATATTGCATATACTGATACTGAGATGACAATATATTTGTAAAACATTTATTAGCCCTGCTCAAAATGACCCTTCTTTAACATTTAAGCACATTTTGAGCAATGTTATCATCTTTATGGCAACGTAATGAAACTCTGGCAGATAATGTTGGCCCTATCTCTAGTTTCCTGATTATAATAAGTATTAACGATTTACAGATGCCTGGATTTGCTCTCATTAGAAACAACGCTTGAAACAGACAAACATTAAATTAAATTGTTTCCACAACAAACTCCGAGTCCTGCAATAAAAATAAACATGTGTCCTCCGGTCAGCACCTTGCAGATTGTTCCGTCTTTGCTGCATGTGTAAAACTAACAGCGGGACTTCCTGTCTTGGTGTACTCTGTGTTCATTCCTCAAGCCTTATCTGTTGAGCACTCGTCCTCTTTGGTATCCTGTCTTCAAAACAACTCCCGATCCTCCCCGGGCGAGCGTCTCGCCCTCCGTTCTCAGGGCAATACAGCCGCTCGATTAGACAAACCCAACGAAAGCGCAGACATAACATGGACTCTGTGTCCAGAACCTGCTGCGGTTACCGTGACGTTTTGTGCAAATACATGAGGAAAGGTGTGGCGCGTTGTAGATTACTTTACCACAGACTGTTTAGTACAAATGGAAGTGTAAATATTCAACATAAAACTCCATTTTGCACAAACCAATGGCAATCCAAAACATTGTTATTTATTGAATAAAACAGGAAATAAATATATTAAAATAAAATAAATATAGGTAAAATATCTCTGGAATGTGTCAATTAAATTATTAATTAAATCTGGAAATATCTGGTAAAAATAGGCATTTATTGCCTTTTAAATTCATATTTAAAAAAAGTTTAAATGAACCAACAATTGTAACAATTGACCAAACAATAATTTTATTGGTGATTGTAGTAAACTGTATGGAAAACAATCATCATTTATTAAATATTAATATATGTGATATAAATGTATTTGTGAACATTATGTACAAAACTATTTAGATTTAGCTTAATCCATAATTATTTCAATAGTGGACAGAAACTATTTGATAACAAATAGGATTTATGCATTTATTGCTTTTCATATTTTTTACATTTAATATGTTTATTGACTGATTTCCAATTTAATTTTAATGATCACATTTAAATATTTTTGCATGTTTTATTGCACTGTGGCACTTTTACGCTCAATCCTGGTGTATAGACATGCAATAAAGTGCAAAACTAATAGATTTAATTTGCAGATAAATGGAAATGTAATACACTGTAGTGCATTTGTACCTACTAAATGTATATATTATTTAATGTCAGTTTTATCCACAGTTTTACTTGTCCAGCTTTATAAAACATTAACCTTAAGTGAAAGAAATAACAGATCTTAAGCCATCTTTTCCTAAATACACACATAGAAAAATGAACACAATCCAACTACATCACCTGATATGTGATGCTGCTTACCAAAGACATTTAAGGCCATCCTGATCACCAGATGTGATGAACAATTGACCAGCAGTTCCCAATACCGTCCAAACACGGACCGTGGTAACTCAGATCCTGGCAGAGAAGAGACACAACCACAAGAAAGAGGAGAACCTGAACATCACCGGGTGCGATCCAGCTTAATAACAGTGTAAAGAGCTCAGCAGCGGTAAAACAATAAGTGGTCAGATGTGGCAGGGGAGAGCTAACGTTAGCTGATTCACGCAGCGCTTCCTCAGATGGCAGGAAGCAGCGAGACCAAAGAGGAGCAAAATGTGTCCCACTTCTTTTTAAGGAAAAAAAACAGCAAGGCTGCGCTAACAGAAATGATCAATCTTCACACCCGTTCCGGGGAAAAGCCGCGGTAGGCGAAAGATACTCACACTTACATCCCATTCTACATTATAGTCGCCATCTTGCCAGGTCACGTGAGCAGTCTCGTCTTTTCTTGGGGGGTAACTATGGCAACAGACCGTCACTCCCGCCTTAGGGTTTGTTAGACCTGGATATCCTAGACTATCGGCAGTGTTTTGTCTTTAAAATGACAAATAAATTCGGTTTAATTAAAATAAACACTACACTTTACAAAAACAGAGGCAGTCTATGGTTCTTGAGAGATACTGGAGGCGTCACGTCGCATGGCCGGTTAGCTCAGTTGGTTAGAGCGTGGTGCTAATAACGCCAAGGTCGCGGGTTCGATCCCCGTACGGGCCACTTAATGTTTTTCTGTCCAACGCTACAAAATTCAATCAAATATAGGTAAAACATTCACACAATATTACGGCTAAATTTTTTGTGGACCGAATGTGGTAACATTGTCATTGAAGGAAAAACGGACATTGAACCCCCTATGATCATACTCTCATGTTCTTGTTTTTTTGCTTTTCTTTATGTATTTTACAATGTTTTATTTTTCAATGTCAAAACTGCTTTCAGTGTCAAGGTAAAGCTGCCATTGCTTTAGCTCCACACATTTGGTGCAGTTAGCTTTGAAATAAATAAGTTATGACACCTGATCAAACCAAAATAACATTTCCCAACATGTTTGAAATCAATTTTAACACTTAAAATACAAAAAAAATAAATTAAAGAAAAGGCATTTGAAAAGTTTTATATAAAACAATAAAGTAAAACAAAAGTAAAAAAAATATTACACACACATATTTATTCCCTCTTAAAATGGCTAAAATCACACACAGCAGGCTTATCACATGCTAATCATGATAAAATATGTCCTGTTTAGATCGCAGACTTTTAATTATAATGCTGAAGTTAGAGTAAACACATCCATAAAGTAAATAAAATAGTGCACAACTGAAAAAAAATGTTGTATTAAATGTAAAGCAAGCCAAATAAATAGTTTGATCCAAGAACTTAATGCTTTTAAAAGACAATTGAAGGAATAATAGCCAGTTCAGAGACACGCAGAGACTCTCAGCATCAGTGTTCAACACATTAATCCTACTTACCTCACTTATGTTGTTTAGTATTTGTATCCAGCTGTATTCAGTTGTTGTTTCACGAGTTCAGACGTTATTGTTCTTGTCTGTGTTTGTCCATCCTCGTCTTGTTGGCCCATATTTGTGGTGATATCATTGACTCCACTGGCGGATCTAGCAGGCCACAAATAGACAAATGGCACATTTATTTATTTGTTTGTTCTAGGCCACACAGAAACACGACCTACTGACCTGACCTGACCTGACCTGACCTGATCTGGCCTGGCATGGCGTGGCAGCGGCGCCACCACAAGGTTTCCATGTGTGTTCTTTGTTTTTCTCATGAGTAAATTAATGTAATTTATTAAAAAGATCCAAAACTGGGTCAAGTTGTGATTCATTTAAAGTGGGAGTGTGCGGATTTGTAGCAACAAAACACTGTAACTGCTATTTTATGAGTTTTTCATTGTTGTTGTTGATGATGTCACTCAATTCTGCAGTTTTGCATCCAATTTTTACAGACTCAAACTGTGCAGGGGTGTCCAAAATGCGGTCCAGGGCCCATTTGTGACCCTCTGAAGGATTTTGGATGGACCCTGGACCTCAACTGTGGTCTGCAAGCATAATTGGTTAATACAGATAGACACTTTTTCATTTTTAGGGAAGTGTTTTTAAATAGATATCTTTAAAAAAATTATATTAAAATTACAGAAAATAGATTTGCATTTATTAACAAGACTTTAGTATTTACCTTCATTTTTTAGAAACACTTATCGACCTAATTTTACTTAAGAGCAAATCTTGCAGTCCAAATAAGAAAACAATCAACACAAAAAAATATAAAACTGTGGACCTGTCTTATACTAAAGCAACTGTTTAAGGTTGTTTCAATGTCTTCTATCTACAATGATCTACTGATTTATTTTCTATTTTAATTTCAATAAAATGTTCATTT